CTGGTCGGGTGCAACATATTAGTTATTCTCTTTTATACAGTCATTAGAATGCATAACTTTTCTCCAGATATTCCATCTCTTGGGAATCACCCTTGGCCCACCATTCTTGGCACCATACTCTTCCCAACATTACTTTCCTTTTTCGGCTACCTTGGGACGCGGAAACTGCAATTGACTTGTAGGAGCATGAAGTTTGCTCGATGTCTGATAATGGCATATTTTTTCTTGTGTAATCTCTGCTTCTTGTTTAACTTCCTTGACAAAAAAGTTTGAAATCGGCCACCGCAAACCCTCTGCCTTGCTTCCTGTTAGCGTTGACGCCGGATTAACTTCAACCACTTTCTCGGGTTCTTTCAAAGAACCAGGGACGTTTTTGGGGGAACCTTTATTTTTGGTTGTCTCTGGATCTAAAAGGGTAAGTTCGCTCTCCTTCTGTAAATATTTGACCATTTCGCTGGGCTTCATAGACTTAGGAAGGTCTGGACCCGTATCTTCCTCCAACTCCATATCTGCAAAACTTGTTTTGGAAGGCGCGACCGCCATATCCTCTTCATCATCTGGGCTCACCGTTTGTGTTGAATTCGAATCGGAATATCCAGTTTCTATCATTTCAGTAGATATCTGGTCTGCTGCTTCCTAGGCATTTTGCAAATTGGCGCTGCGAAGGCCTCCTGAATCACTCTCAGTGTCACTCTCACTTTCGTTCTCGTGTTTGATAAGTTCATTGATGTAATGTTCGATGTCAAATTCTTCAATGTCTGATTCTTCTTCTTCTGTCGAGTATGCTGGTTCCGAGGTATTTTGTGAATTGACGCTCACGAGGTCCTTGGCGTCTTTCATCAGGTCTGCTGCTTCCAAGGCATTTTGTGAATCGACAATTACAAGGCTTCCTGGATCACTCTCACTAGCATTCTCACTTTCATTCTCACGTTTGATAAGTTCATTGATGTAATGTTCGATGTCAAATTCTTCAATGTCCGATTTTTCCTCTATCGGATCTGCTGGTCCCAAAGTATTTTCTGAATCGACGCTTACAAGGTCTTCTGAATCACTCTCACTGTCACTCTTACTTCCATTTTCGCGTTTGATAAGTTGATCGATGTAATGTTCAATATCAAAGTCTTCATCGTCCGAATCTTCCTCTAATTCTGATTCTTCGTCCGAACTCTCATCGTCTAATTCTGAACCTTCAGAAGAAGCTGTTATGCTATTAGACTCAAAGGAGTAACGGGACATGTGTGCGGATCCCTCGGTCACAGCTGAAATTGCACGCATTCGCACTAGGGTCGTCCCTGTACTATTCTTTCTTTCCAAAATGGGGGTAATCATTGCTTTTGCGTTAATGTATGTGTATTTCTGAGCCACGGGCTGGTTATTTCTGGATATTTTCACGATATTCTCAATTCTTTTGCTGTCAGTGCCATTTGAACCTTTCCTGCAGCTGGAAAAAATTCTGTAAGCTGATGTAGATTCCGCACAGGCCAGTTTATCTTTCAAATGATCTAATGGTCCTTCCTCTTCAAGCTTTGAGGGGCTCGTACCTGGTAAATGGTAATGTTCTTTTTCGTCATTAGCCAGCAAAGTGGTTTTGTTTAAAGAGCTTAGCCTCGATCGTGCTTGAAAGCCACTACAGGATTGTTTGCGGTTCCACGAAGCACTGTTTGGCTCACTTTTACGGTCATCATATTTTACACGGTAAACATTTCCTTTTACCCTACTCCACAATCGCCGAAAAGGCTTCTTAAGCATTTTAGACATGGCTAAAAAACGAGGCACATCACTGGCGATGTGAGAATCGTTACAACCCAATAGACATTGAAATCGAACAAAACACGCAATCTATCACATTGGGAAGTTTCCAAAACATCTTGTCGCAAACGACATGACAGGGCAACTTACGCGGACTCCATGCGTCGAAAACACTGACAGGTGTTACTGGCGAAAGTTAATTAAAACCCAGCTTTTTTTTCAAATCATCCAAAATAAAACGCGAATAAGATCTACTTACCTTGAAAAAACCGAACCAAATAGAATAAATTACGAAGTAACGCACTTTTGCAGGATGTCATTTGTGCACACTGAATTCATCATTTCTGCTAAAAGTATTGCTCTGGTTTAATTGATCATGATAGCCACCTTGTCAGACTAGCATAATTCTCATCGTAATGTGATCACAAAGAAAAAGTGGAAGCAATTTTAACAAATGTATATAATGAGCGCGGTGTTGCTGTTATTCGTCATCAATAAAATTTGGAGCTACCGTGGTGCTTCTGTGCATTATTTGTTTTGTTTGTGGGAGTTGTGTTTCTCAAGGCAATACAAAGTAATCGATAGCAAGCCTAGAAGCCAAAGTGAATTTCCATAACGATGTTAAGAAAGCAGAATCGGTCTTAATCAACTTGAGAACACTTGGTTCTATGTAAGAAGCGATAGTTGCTCGGTCTCAAACAAAGGGCGAAGAATATCATCGAGCAATCGGTGGGGTGATAAAAACAATTTATGAACCCATCATAAACAGTTAAAATGAACAATTGTATTGTTCCTTGTAATATCTATAAAACATTTTCTCTTCAATTAATCAGTGTCGGCCCCTGTTGATAAACCTTCAATTACTGCATACTAACACGATGTCCTACAGTTATTAGTTGTAAACAGTAACAAATTTCGGTAATTATAGAAATTTCTCTCATATTAGAATACCGTGATATGCTTTATTTTGCACAGTGCGATAAAAAAAATGCTAATTTTTTTCGACATAATGTTAGTGATATGTCTGCTAAACTGTGAACTGGATGTTATCTGAATTCATTAGAGTCGTTACATATTTGACCACTTCTAACTGGTGTCACAATCAACTTTTACATAAACTATACACTCCCACCTTAATGACTTCCCCAGCTCAATTTGACACCAGCTGCTATAAGTCTTCTGCCCTTGTGAGCACAATTTTATAAGACTGGTTTTTAATGTTGTAGTTATTTCCGAGTGTGTTTTATACTCATTTAGTCGAGAATCAATTGTATATAGCTTGATATTTTATATACTTTCTGGAAGAATACAAGAAACGTTCTTGACTTGATCTCCTAATGCGATAATTTTAATATTGTCGATGAAATCCTATTTATTGCTTAATTTAGCTATTGCAGCACCAAAAATGTCTCATTTGACCTGTCCAGTTACCAGGAGCTTGTAGTCGGATGAGTCAATTCGAACAGTTAAACAATATTACTAGCCAAATTCAATTACATATCCCGTGATAACCAATCAAAGATAATGAAAAAATACCGTAAAATTCCGAAAATAAGCCCCTTCAAATATAAGCCCCCCAAACCGGTAACGCAAAAAACCCTCCGTTCAATTGCCCCTCCTGATATAAGACCCCTGGGGCTTGTACGTGGAAAATTGCCCTCAAATACAAAGTAAAACGAAGCAAAAACGGTAAATTTACTTCCCACTATAAGGCTAGCCCAACTGATTTTGAGACGCAAATTTCCCTCTTTGGATAAGCCCCTCCGAATATAAGCCCCTCCAAAAATAAGCCCCTCAAAAAGGGCCTTTAAAAAATATACTCCCTGGGGCTTATTTTCGGAATTTTACGGTAATTGCTGAGCAGGCTAAACAGCTTCAGCTTGAAGAGAAAATGGACGGAATTAACTGGTCCAATGACTTTTATTCAGATATTTTTTCATAAGACTTTGACATCTATTAAACGCAATTTATTTAGAAGGCCTTGAAGAAAACGATACCGTTCTTAAGTCGAAGATGTTTTCCTTTGGAAGCTGCAAGCCGATGTTATACGGCCTTTTTACTCACGTTAATAAATATTCCAATATTAAGATTATGGCATTTTGTTTATGATTCAATTAAATGATGATAGGATTTCCTGTTATACACTTCAGGGCTAATTAGGCTTGTAATTTGAAATCGGGCTAGCAGGCAAAAAGTACTCGCCTGATTATTCCTGAATTGTGCTCCACTTAATTCTGTAACTACTATCAATAAACATATTCATATTCATATTTCTGATTTTTCATTTATAGGCATCCCGCTAAAATAGCAGAAAAAAGGACAACATAGAGTATTAATGCATGAAACTTATTCATCCCAATCAAGATAATAATAATAATAATAATAATAATAATAATAATAATAATAATAATAATAATAGTCTTTTAATTCATGAGATAAAAACTACATATCTTATGTTACAAAACTTCCAATTTTCAACTAAGTTAAGTTGTAATAATTAAAGAGCTAAATTATATTAGTTAATAATAAAAAAATCTAAAAGCTATTAACTCATTTACAAAATACCAGTTATAAAGTTAGGTCATATTTAAAGATTAGTACGATTAAAGTGGGAGTTCTTCTCTCGATCCGTGTTTAATTTCGGCCGGTGACTAGATTTGTGTCTTAGATTGTATTCTGTGACCTTCAGTTTAGGCATAAGGTTTCTCAGAGGATGTTTCTCTTGATGTTTCACCTTGTCGAAAATTTGCCTGTTAACCGCCTTACATATGTTTCTCCGCTTGTGACACTGCTCCAGGAAACACTGTACAGTCGAAAGCTGTGCATTAACAGCACCGTAGACCGATAGACCATAGGTCAAATTGAGGGTAACTAGACTTTGAAAGAGATAGTCTATTTCTGCTTGAGAATAACCCTCCTTCCTTAATGATCTCAGTATAAAGACATTTATTAGCTTTCATTAGCTTATTCTGTACTGTAAAGGCGAGCGTTCAGTAATCAGTCGCCGTTTCGTACCATTCGCCCCGGTTGACGTGCATGTAGCCTACTTTTGTCGTGTTGCTTTTACTTCATAAGTTACTCTGCCTTGTTTCTTATTTGCCATAATCTTCGCCAATAAAATCAAACTTATTGCGTGCTTAATCATTTAAATTTCAGTTGTTTATTTCTTTTTCTTAGTTTCTAGGTATCATAGATAGTGCAATCAATAAATCAATCATTTTCAGCAACACAAAGAAACATCCTTTTATCCATTACAATAAATAGGATTTATCTGGGTATTTTCCCACGCGGGAATCATCTTTGGCCCACCATTCCACCCACCATACTCGACCGAGCATCACGTTTCTCTCTCGGCCAGGATGAAATGCGGTCGCAACAGTCGATCTGTAGGAGGGTAAAGATTCCTCTAGATCTGATAAGGGCATCCCAGGATCTTGTTCGAGCTCTTTGACATACAAATTTGATAATGGCCACCGTAGATTCTGCACCTTATTTGCTTCCAGCATTCGCGCTAGATACTGAAACTTGTACGCATTTTCGTTTTCTTCCTCTGTATCACTTGCTTCCGAGGCAGACTGATCTTCACTGGTCGAAGAATCTTCGGTTTCTGACTCTTTGAGAGAAGTTTTCGCTGACTCTAAGTCGGATTCTACTATTTCCTCAGATCGCTCTCGTTTCATTTTCTTCATGGCTTTTTGAACAGCCTTTTTAAAGACTTTGTCTGAATTAACGCTTTCGTTTCCATCCGAATCACTGTCGTTATCACTAGCACTTTCGCTCTTATTCTCGCGTTTGACAAGTTTGTTGATGTGATTTTCAAAGTCAAACACTTCATGTTCCGATTCTTCGTCCGAAGAATCATCGTCCAAATCCGAACCCTCAGAGACAGTACCTGAACCACTGGAATCACTGTCGTGCTCAGAATCGTCACCCTCAAGTTCTTCTGAAATGGCAGCAGCAATAGCCTTCACATCAACGTCTGCGTATTCATCATACTCCTCCGGCTGGTTTTTTTCACTTTTGAGGTCCAATAAAATTTGATTTAAGGCAAGCGAGCCCTTTCTGTGATTGGAAAGAAGTTTCACAGATCTTTCGTTTGCTGATATTGACGCCCAGAAGTCTTCCTCATCTGTCGTAGAACCCAAAGACCTGTTGTCATCTTGAAGCGGGTCGCTTATTGCCGTGCCATTTGATAAAAATTTTCGTATCTTTCCTTCGTTTTGGCCATTCTCAACTGAGTTTAAATTGTGGGAAGACTTCCCACTCATTTTGTCTTGGCGGAGTGATTAGGACGTTTGCTACTCCTTGTAATAAAGGGAGTTAATAGAAGCTTTTCGTCAGTCGAGGTTAAAAGATAAACGCTCTCTTTGCCTTGAATCCACTCGACTGCTGCAATATTTTGTAATCAAACCAGCTATATCTAATAAACATAGTTTCTCAAAACGAGATTGGAATCACACTGCAAGATGCTGATATGTCTGAGGAGCCAAGTGACATCTAAGAAAAGAACAAAAACCTGCAATTAATAACAGTATGTTTTCACTCAGCTTTCGGAATTGAAGGAAGTTAATGAACTCGTTATAACTAAAGTAAGTATCTTTATTAATTGTATTCTGTTGGTTCTCCACTCAGGCTATAATGACATATATTAAATAAATTTTAATTTATAGATTTCTGAGGAGGAGAGGGGCATATGTACTACTCTGAAACTCTTTTCTTTTTGTTCTCCACTCAGCATATAATGACATATATAAATGAATATATTTCCGAGGAGGAGTGGGGCATATCTTCTCCAGTAACTCCAAAACTGTTATTAAGACAATGGAAAAGAATAGTTAATTTTTTATCGTATCAGAAGGAAAGATGATAAACCAGTATGAAATTCATCGCTACAGATAGAGTTCATATAGGAGTAGAACCGATATTTGTGTAATTTGAAAAACATTATATGAGCGTCAGTACTGCTAATCATAATTATGTTTCAGTGTCCTCGTGAGTCCCTTTTTTCAACGATAGACAAAGCAATATTCTAACCGACCGTAGCCAACAATCATAATAACAACAGTGGATTTAGAAGGTTAAAACTGATTCGGTCTGAAAAGACCTGCTGTAATATATTCGGTATTTCTCCCGCGGTGATATTTATGTAGAAATGAACTTAAGGATGCTGTAAATGTTATAAATAGTTTGCAATTGTTGCTGTGACGGAGAAAGCCATTTAAACCGTCCATGATAGATTAGATCATTTTAAATGGAAGTTAAATGTAAACTTAAATTACATGATGTTTCGAGAAAAGCCTTAAACACAAAGGTCAGTTAAAAGAACGTACGTACTGTTTACTGTCGTCATGGTAGGCTCTCCATAATTTTGCGGAAATTCATTTATTGTCCTTTCAGACCCAAAGGCCTTTAAAGTCTCCTCGCATCTTGATAATTTAAAATAAGATTTTACCGAAGGGGACTTTTCTCCAAAGATGTATAGTGGCCTAAATTATTACGAATAAGTTTGGAAGCTTTCTAGGGAAAAGGTCTTTTTTTAATGCCGTTGAGCGGTCGTGATGCACTGTGGTTCGAGATGACACTGAACTTTAATATGTACACCAAAGCTACTTTAACATTAGTTTTGACATTTTGAAAAAGTTTTGGTAAAATTACCTTGGCGAAAGTTTACCTTATGAGACTTTAAAAAAACAAAATATGCAAGCCTAGTTTAGAATCAACAGCACAAAAACATGTAAGTCAATTTTCATACCTTTAGTTCTTCAGGATGTCAGAATTCTTGATCACAAAAAACGCTTTACCACATCTAGAAGCGATGAATTATCACTATGGTAAATAGACTTTGACTGTAAATTTTAGAATCTGAATTTGAATATCAATTTGGAATGCAGCTGTCTCGGAAAGCAATATAACCTTGCTATTGACGAGAGGATTAACAACAGCGGGTGGTATTGCAGTTGTCAATTAAATATCTTGAAGCAAGAACAAAGTCATTCCCTAAGGCAATCACATCACTCGTAGGGGGCTAAATAGACCAATCAGAATTTGAATGCAAATGTCATACAGACACATATAACTGGCGTCAACTAATGTGAACTGGTGCCAGGCGCTAATAAACCTGTTCGACCGAGCAACAATTGGTTTTCCTTTTTTTTTTTCTTTTTCACTTTCTATTTTCTGTTCATGTTATAGTCAATATGAAGGTCGAGGAACTGACAGATTTATAGGCAGTACTAATTCAAGTGAGACAGAACCGAAGTATGTACAAATAACGGACGACACTCAGTTAAAATATATATGTCTATATATGCATGGATTGACATTAATTGTTCTAAACTACGTTTGACGTCTTTCCAATATATAACTCATGGAAAATTAATGGAGTAATGAGACAAAGACAAAGATGCATTTAGTCTTTCTTTTGTGATGATATTATCGCCTCAGAAAGTAAAGCAATGGCTGTCTTTACACCAGGATGTTAAGTAAGACTTAAGAGCTGCTAAGTTTTGCTTAACCAAACATTCGTGTGTGAAGACCTAAGTAAAATCTCAAGTAACTTTACTTTGCATCTCATTAAAGTCGGAAAGTTGAAGTGATCAAGAGAGTTTCAAGCGACTTGAAAACCATCCTTAAAACCGACTTAGCTGACTTGCGGTTTCTTGAGGTTTGAGAAAGGCGGAACACGTTAATCAATCGTAATTACGTTGCGTGGGAAAATAGCCTTAAGGTAACCTGAAATAAAAAAGAATCGGTTGTGTGT